CTGGAGGCATGGTCACTGGGAAGAGGTAACTATGGGGAGGAAGTGGGAGGGGAGCTGTTGCATTGTGGTAAACTATGGTCAATGACATGAGACAAAGTATATGTGAACTGCTGTATGGAAAGTGAATTTGCTCTGTAAATCTTCACCCAAATCAAAATAAAATAAAAATAAATAAATAAAAAATGCTTACATTTATTCTAGTCTTTTTGAAGTCTGAAAATGAAAACCATGAAGATAAAATCAAAACCAGAGTTTCAAAAATTAATGCAGAATCACCTATAATAGTACAAGATGAAAACTCTAAGACTGGCTTTCCCTTATGTATAATATACCTAACTTAGAAATGGCTTTATGGGAGCCTCATAATCCAACAGATTAGATAAAACTAATTCTATTAGAGAGAATCATATAAACAAACAAAGAAAGGAGAGTCTCAACTGGTAGAATCAAAGATACACACCTGAAATACGGGCTCTGATAATCCCAGAAGCACCCTCTGAGCATTTGTAGGGCCCAAGAAACGGTGGACAAGGGAAGACCAGCCCAGGGAAAAACGAAACACAATATCTTCTTGAAAATCGGAACATAACTTGTGGCAATTTAGGTCATAGCTAAGGTCAAATTTCTTGCAAGGGATGAGTGTATGTAGTTTATTCTGTATACCAGTTGGAAGTAATGGCTTCAAATTTTCTGGAAAAATAAAAATACAGTATTATTTTAAAAACCAGTAGTACATGTTTTGTCTTCTAAACACATCCAAAGACAATAAATCCTTTACCAACGAAGGGGGGGAGGAGGGTAAGAACCTATCTATGACCTTGTAGACATAAATGTTACCAATAATTTCCTGCTGGGATTGAAGCATAGAGGCATTGACTTCACTGGTGCACCGATCAGCCAGATTTCTCCCCATACCATCTTCTATGTGCTTATTTAACTCCTGTGAACAATGGTAAATGTCCTGATTATTTTTTCTCCAGCAAGTACTGCATATCTTATAGACCTTAAAAACATAGTAAATGTTAAAATGATCTTCTTTTCATTCATGAAAGGGTAATCATTTTGTATACTTTCATATACAAGATAGCTGATATTTATTACAACAGTGCCCAAAAGATATAATAGTTTAATTCTGTACTGGTTGCTGTGAAGATACTAAAAAGCCCAAACCATTAAGTTAGAGTACAGGGTAAGGTGTGGAAACTGAGTAATTGTTAACTATACTTTAACTCACACTTTTATACACTTTTAATACACTTGGAGTAGGATGAAACTCTGAGCAAAATTCATCAACTAAAACAGAGAGTCGACAAATTTCATCTGTCATGGCACATGAAACCTGAAAATATTAAAAAAATCAGAGATGATGAATTAATAAATAAGATTATCAACTGCCAAGAAAATTCAAATTGAAAACACTAAAAAATACTCCTTTATGATAACATGTATGTTTTTTAACATTATCAGAAAATATTTTCATTTGCATATATTTTAATGAAATATCATCACCCACCTTGTTTGCCACCTCCTCTGTAACCTCTCGGATTTTCTTCTTAACGTCCAGTGTTAAAAGGTTCATCTGGTTTCGAATAAAGTCCAATCTATCAATTTGGTCTTCCCTCTCTTCCATTGAGTATACTCTATTATAGCATAGAGAGTAATTAATATTCAGAGTACATTAAAATACCAGAGCAATTAAGGGCATTCATGTATGTATGTATGTATCGAACCACTCATTAGCCTGACACAACAAAAAAATAAATCTCATATTTCAACATCTAAAAGGATTCAAATATTTCATATATAAATCATTGAGTATAAACCATTTTTTCTTTCTGTCCATGTAGCATCTCAACACTGACAAGGGATTAATAAACATTCTAAGTCTTCAAACACTTCACAGATATGAACAGTCAAAACAGAACTCAGTATTATCTAATTTACACAAACAACCAACAAATGGCAGCCTGCAAACCCTATCTAGCCAGCTGCTGATTTTTGTTCAAGTTTTCTTGGAATATAACAATACCTACACCCATTTACCCATGGCTGCTTTCACTCTACAACTGTAGCACTGAGAAGTCACAAAAGAGACACTAAGGCCCACAAGTCTAAATATTTACTATATGGCCCTTTATAGAAGGTGACTCCTGTATGATATCACAGAAAAACAAAAACCTGAGATCTTTTTAAAAAGACACTAAGAATTTCCAAGATGATATGATTACACAAACTATCTTCAGTTCGCATATGCTTTGTGCCATATTTTCTAAATTAACAGTATTAAAGTCAATATGATGGACCAACTATTTGTTTGGGCTACTATAATAAAGCAATTGAGAGGGAAGGAACTTCAATGGCAAAATGTCATATATTAACAGAGCCTATACAGAGGCAAAGGTGCAGTAGTTAAGCACTTGGCTGCTAACCAGAATGTTGGCAGTTCAAACCCATCAGCCACTAGATAGGAGAAAGATGTGGCAGTCTGCTTCCATAAAGATTTATGGTCTTGGAAACTCTATGAGAAAGATCTACTCTGTTCTATAGGGTTGCTATACAAAAAACTGACTTGACAACAGTGGGTTTGGTTTGGTTTGGGCTGATATACTGAGGCACCTCACAAAGGCTGGGATTAGACTCTAGGTTCTCACCCTTTTGTCATATAGGCTAATAGCTCTCTACTCTCATACAGTGAGACAGTGTCAGAAATGAAGGAGATGAGTAGAGTTCTGTTTCCAGCTAAATGAAACAAATTTAAAATCCCCATTTATACCTCACCTTGGACTCAATCTTGGATGCTTCATAGCTTTCCTTTAACTGGATTAAATCCAGACGCTCCAATGGAGACTTAGTATCACTTTTGTCACATCTAATAACATCCTGATCTTTGTTTCAACTTTACCAATCTGTGAGCATCTATACTTTTCACTGATAGTCCTAGCACTTTAATGCATTTATTTCCATTCTTTATAAGGTAATAAATGGAATAAAATAGTGTAGTAGAATTATGACAAATAGGGTATTGCTTACCAAACTGACTTTCTGACTACCAGGTAGCACCCACCTTGTTTGTTCACCAGCCATTGAACAAAAAGTGACAACTGGCATAACAAAGTTGATTCAGGGTGTCAATGTATGAACGTATGAAAGAATGGGTGGTAAGTTGAATTTAACAAAGACGATGATCATCATTTTGAACTTCAGCATAAAATTCTGCTTGAAGAAATGGTTCTTCTACTGCTTGAAAAATATTTTAAATCTACTAAACATTTTAAAATCACAATTCATACAAGGGTATATTGAGATCCAGGGAATGTAAATGATTTCTTCATGGTATTTACAGCTTCTAACATTTCATTTAAAAAACATGCAAGTTAACCAATATTTACCATTTCAAATATTTTCAAAACATTCATTAGGAATCAGGTAAACCCAACAAGGTTGACTTTAGTATGAAAAGTATTTATAACAATTTAAAACCTTAGTCTAAGGAATTCACACCAACACACAAAATAAACATTTTTATGTTGCAACAAAGTGAACTCATACCTTTTCTCTGCTGCTGCCACGTTTACTGAATCCATTACGTTTTTCACAGTATCTAGTATCTGTTTAGCTCTGATAGTGTGCTGTTCAAACTTTGTTTTCACTGCTGACTGCGAGATACACTCCTGCGAGGGGCCCAAGCCATAACACATTACTGTAATTCCAGCCCAACATTTTCAGGAATTTAAACACACAAACTTGCTGTTTGTAACTTTAACAAAAACAGAAATAAGGATGCAAAATAAAAGTATAACAAACACAATTTAAAACTGCGAAAGTTAAAAGAACGAGGATTCAAAAGTAAAAAGGGTTTTCACAGCAAGTTCACAGCTTTGTGTATTTTCACACAGTAATGTGCAATGGTTTTGTTGACTCTTAATTAAAACAAAACAAAATGAGAAAACAGGGTACTATTTTCAATGTTAAAAAAAGGTTACCCCATTAGAATCACTACTTTTATCTGGATCATACTGAATCTATTCATTTCAATTTTTCTTACACTTGGAATAGATAACCTAACAAAGTTCTCAATTGAGTTGTGAAATAGAATTATACCTTCAGTTAAAAAACAGCTGAATCACTGATTACATAAAAAGGACTTCTCTGGATTAAAACTTGAACAATTTCAAAAATGATCTTTAACAAACAACCTAAGTGATATTTTAAATTATTTATAGAAATGTTTGCATGTTTTTCAAGATAATCCCATTACTGTATTGAGCTACTATATGTGCACACAGGACTAATGCCCTAGCTCCTCTGTTCTACCTTTAATCTAATGCAGCTCATAACACATTAATGGATTGTGAAAATCAATTTAGTGTTTCATGATCAGTAATTTTTAAATAGATGACATCAGAATATACCATATAAAGTGATCAATATAGTTTGTAAAATTGTTTAGTTTTTAATATAAATGCAAACCAGTTGTTACATAAATAAGTATTTAAAGGCGAGTAACCATGGTGGTTCAAGCTCACCAGCCACTCCTCAGAAGGAAGAAGGGGCAATCTACTTCTGTAGTGATACCACCTCAGACCCCAAAGAGGGGTCACTATGAGTTGGATCCGACTTGACGGCAGTGAGTCTGGTTTGGTTTTTGGTTAACCATCAAAAGTCTGCAAAATTACTAAATTAAAATTGGTCTCATTTTACTTTTATGTCGCAGAAAATGAAATTCTGTAACAATTACAAATGTTTACAGAGAAATGCTACCTGGTCTTTGGACAACCTAAGAAATACTAAGGCTGGGTCACATCGATATCAGTAACCACACTACATGTTTTGTAGGAGACTATTTTGTGGCTTCTTTTTATGACAAATTAAAAAATGCAGGGCTATACCCCAACCCTCTGAGGCCTCTATGAAATCATCTTCTTGAACCTTTTTATATGTTTGGTGAGCACAAACTATGCTAATTACTTCCTACAGTCAATCACTGTACTTCCTTTCTCAAAATAAATAACTTTCAAGCTTTAAAAGGCTTCAATTAATGCCCCAGTACATTTGTTATTTTTTAAAAAATCAGCATTATATACATTTATTCAAAGTACTACTGTAAAACCTGTGAGAGCCAGAACTCAACAGGCTGGCCTTATTTTCCCAGGTCTTGTAAGTTTTCCTCCTTTGCCAGGGTACAGTCTTACTATCTTTTTTATCACTCATTTTAGTGGAAAACAGTTGAGTTTTCCTTCTGTGACAGGTTCTGCCTTTAAAAGGTTCTAATTTCACAGGTTTGTTTTACTGTACTTAGAACTCATGCTTGCCCCTCATTCTCTAAAATGTTTACATGCTCACTTCACTAAGACAGAAAGACAACTTTTAAGTTTTAATCTCTTGCTATTTTAGCTGCCTTTTTCGATATTTTGGTTGAGATACAGAAAACAAAATAGATTCATTTCTTTAGCTATAGGGCACATAAGAGTAATGAATTTATGCAACAGTTTATAATGACTTCTTGATCTTTTCTTGCACCTTCATTCACTGTCTCTCATTATTTAGCCTCACGGTTGCTCATGGTGAAGTGCAGTTCATTTATAAATCACTTATTTTCATTAATCCTAGAGATTAGTGGTAGGAATTTGCAGCATTCCAGTTCTGCACATGTCTAAAGCAAAAACAAAACAAAAAAATTCCTGGATGTGTCCTTCTTTAAAAACACCAATAACTACCCTAAATTAAATATTTAAAGTGTAATCTGCTTACAAAACTTTGATTGTTTGAAATAACTGTGCTTCATAAATGTGACAAATCAATATCCACAAAAAATAAAAGCATAAAAATAAATATTTTTAAAGGAAAATAATGGTTAAAAGAATTTTTATATTCCTCGATGAAGCAGATCTAGATTTCAGCAATGAAGATCCAAATTCATAGGTAACAGCACAATGTTAGAGCTAGACGAGACAGAAAAAAGAAAAATCTTCAAAGTTATTAGGCTACATACAAGCTGCTTCTTGACTAAAAAACAGATGATGAATAAGGACCAAGAATAGACAATCTTCTTTTAATTAAAAGGTATCCCAAACTGATGTTCTCACTGATCAGAAGAATATTAGTAAGCACCCTGCAAAAACAAATACTCTCAGGTAAGTATGAGAAACGCTAAGTTAAACAGTTTCTTTACTGTGTTATTCTCCAGAGCCTTGAGTATACAGAAATATACTGATATGTTTTATGAATTTCCAATTTTTCCACTTTGTGGAGCCACCACTGCAGCCACCACAACCTTACCATCAAATACATTAGCACTTATCTTCTTAGATATTTTCCCATACATTCAGGATATAATTACCATATTAAAAACGTTTGCCATTGAGACAATATTACCACCAAACACAGCTGATATTCAAATATCACTAACCATCCCAGGAATATACTTTAAAACAAATCCATTCACATTTCAAAAGAGTTATCTTACACCTCTAGCCCATCATACAACCAAAACAACAATAACAACGAAAAAACCAACCCAAACTATTAATAATAGTTAAGAGCCAAAGATGTGTGCTAAGAAGTCTGGACTTCTAACTTGCCTGTAGAATATATGCCTACCCAAATGCATGCTAAAAATAATAAAAGTATTAATAGAGAGACTTCCGATAAGATGGCAGACAGGCAGACAAGTGACACAGACCTTCTTCAACAAAGAAAAGAAAAACCAGTTGACAGAGATACAGAAGATAATCCTGGAGCCCTGAGCTTTGAAAGGAACTATACAGAAGTATATTAGAAATGGAAAAACCTGAACGAAAACAGTGAGTACAGAGACGGTTGGAGCTGCGGACTGTCAGCTACTCTGATGGGACCAACAACCTGAATATTTCCAAGTGGTGTTGGGACCTAAGAATTGACCTAAAGATCAGCCCTGGTCACCAAGGGCTGCAGGAATGACTGTGCTAGTGGCCTATGACCAGGAAGGGAAACAGCAAGGAGGGAGACAACTGAGCTGTTGCCTTTCTGCTGTCTGGAGGGCACAGCCATTTTGGATATTTAAAGTGATCGAGGACACAGCCATTTTGAATCTTTACAAATGGCAACCATTTTGGATTTTAAAGTGATAGCATTCTCATTCAGGTTCCAGGGACCTAAGAATAGGCTCTTTTTGGCAAGGTTGGCAGGGACCTACAGAGGCTGACAACAGGAAAGGAGATAGGTGGTGAGTGTGTAAGTGTTGTCAACTAATTAATAGAGAAGCACAGCACAGTACCCTGCTTGCATAGATAACATACAAAGAAAACCAAAATTGTGGGCAAGTTATTCCAACATACAATCACCAATTAAATATAAACACAAAAAAGTCACAATGCATTGGAGACAACAGAGCATCACAGTCCACACAAAGAAGCAAGATAATGCAGAAGACACAAGGGACCAGCATACAGACCCAAAACACATCCCTGAGGAAGACACAGCATTGGAACTCCCTGATAAGGAATTCAAAAGAATTATATTTAAGTACCTTCAATGAATTGAGAGACAGACCAAGGAAAACACTGACAAAATTGAGGAGAAGACCCTACAACAATTTCAAAAGACAATACAAGAACAAAATGACAAAATAAATTAAAAATTAGTAATGATACCAAATCTACACACAGAAATCCAGAAGACTAAAACTAAATTTTCAGAAATAGATAAGACATTGAACATGCAAAGGAGTAGAACTGAATCAATGGAAGACAGATATTAGTGAGACTGAAGACAAATACCTCAATACTTCTTTGGAAAGGGATCAATCAGAAAAAAGATCAAAACAAAAAGAAGAAAGCCTAAGGTTCATGTTGGATACCATCAAAAAGATGTAACTGGATTCTAGAACAGGAAGAGACAAATAAAACCACAGGAAAAATTGTCAAAGATTTTTTGGAAGAGAATTTTCTGTTACGATGAAAGATGAGAATATATCCAATCCAGGAAGTCCAACGAACCCCAAATAGGATACACCCCAAAAGAAAATCACCAAGGTATATCATCATCAAACTCATCAAAACCAAAGACAAAGAAAGAATCATGAGAGCAGCATGGGAAAAACAAAAAGTTACCTACAGGCACACCAGTAAGAGTAAGTAAGCTTAGATTTCTTGGCAGAAACCATGCAGGTGAGAAGACAATAGGATGGTAAATATAAAACCCTAAAAGAGAAAAATTTCCAACCAAGAATTATGTACCCAGCAAAACTGTCCCTCAAATATGATGGTGACATTAGGACATTTCCAGATAAGCAGAAATTAAGGGAATTTGTTAAAACCAGACCAACCTTACAAGAGATGCTAAAGGGAGCTCTTTGGACAGAGAAGCAACAACAGCCAACAACTGACCATTAACATACATGGTGACATAACTCAGAAACCAAGCCAGCTATGGAAGTATCCAAAGTAAATAAGCCTACAAGAACCAGAGACATCAATTGACAAATGAGGACAACTACAAACCAGAAAGAGGGGAAAAAGTGTCATTACAGAACTTCCAGATAGTAGGGAAGTCAAGATACCTACAAGATAGAATGGACTGTTCAAAACTTAGGAAGGAAACTTTAAATCACAGGGTAACCTCAAAGAAAAATGATAAACCTTCACATCAAAATAAAAAAGGACCAACACAAATATTTAGCAAATACTAAAACAATAACAACAAAGGAAGTGATAACACGATTCATGAACAAAATGAACTCAGCATAGAAAATTATATGGAACAAACAAATTGACACCACAAAAAAGCACATAACAAAAATGACAACAACAAATGCATACTTGTTGATAATTATGTATCTGGCAAGGGACTTATCTCTAAGATTTGTAGAAAGCTCCAATGCCTCAACACCAAAGGAATTAACAATCCTATTGAAAAATGGGCAGAGGACATGAATAGACACTTCACCAAGGAGGATATTCATTCAGGTGGCTAGCTAATATATGAAGAGACACTCACAATCATTGGCCATCAGAGAGATGCAAATCAAAATAAGAATAAGATACCATCTCACCCCAGCACTGATGGCAAGGTTCAACAAGATAGAAAATAACAAATGCTGGTGGGGATGTGGAGAGATTGGGACTCTCAGACACTGCTGGTGGGACTGTGAAGTGATACAACCACTGTGGAAAGCAGTATGGCGATTCCTCAGAAAGCTGGAATTGGAGATACCACTTGACCCAGCAATCAAATTACTAGGTATAGTGAGAACCAGGACAGGAACACTCATGTTCATTGCAGCACCATTTACAGTACCAAAAAGATGGAAACAACCTACATGCCCACCAGTGGAAGAGTGGATGACCAAACTATGGTACATACACATACTGGAATGCTATACAGCAGTAAAGAATAATGTAAAGTCTGCAAAACACTGCATAGTAAGGACGAACTTGAAGGACATTATGCTGAGTGAAGTAAGTCAATCACAGAAGACAAATATAGTATTAGTTCGTAGTTGTGGAGAGTCAAAGAAAGGTTTATATATGAAGGAAAACTTTCTTTGTCGGTTGCCAGGGGTCGGAGGGGAGGGGAAGGAACACTGAAAAAAAAAAAAAAAAAAATCCATTGAGAAATTCAGCCTGCAATAAGAAATGTTATGGGTAATTCACAAAAGGCAAAATCTTGGGGAGTAAGTTATTGCCTATGACAAAAGTGGGCATTCCTGAAAGCTTCATTGTGTCTGTGAGGCCCCTAGGGAACCATATAGGAAGCAGAAGCAATAATTTATCCTTATGCAATAAAAATATAATGTTACTAGCCAAAAAAAAAAAGTATTAATAGAGTAACTTTGCTTTTACTTGATTAATTACACCCAATTTAACTTTCAAGAGTTGTTTAACTTAATACTGCACTGTAAAGTGCAGGTCCTTTGGAATCATATCAATCTGAAGAAGTCCAAGGCAAAAATCAGATTGTTTGATAAAGATGATGAGTTTGGTACAAAGTTTTTCTTTTCACAAAAAAAATAAAGAATGAATTTCAAAAACAAAGAACAAAAGTTTGTAAAGGTCATATTCTGTGATCACATGTAATGAAACCAAGAAATTAATGATCAAAAGTTGGATTAAAATAATCTAAACATACAAATTTTAACAACTCTGGTTTTTTAAAAAAAAGGCAAAAACAAAGACTAAAGAAAACCAAATGGAATATAGAAACCCATGGGTTACAACCAAAGCTGCACTCCAAATCACAGCCCTTAAATACTTTCTTAAAGAATGCAAAGAACAATTTAACATAAAAAAAAATTTAACTCAAAGAAAGTAAACAGATATTATGTTAAATGTACCAGTTTCTAAGAAATTATAAAATAACCAAAACTGACCGAATAATAAATGCAAATCTCAGACAAATACTCCCTAGATGGAGAAACTCTGTCTTGTTTACTCTGGACATATTATCAGAAAAGACCAATTCCTGGAGAAAGACATCATGCTTGAAAAAGTAGAGGGTAAGTGAAAAAGGGGAAGACTCTCAATGAGATGGACTGACACAGTGACTGCAACAATGGGCTCAAATAGCAATGACTGTGAGGATGGCGCAGGACATTTTTTTATGTTGTCCACAGGGTCACTATGAGTCAGAACTGACGTGAGGGCACTAACACTGAATTCTGTACGCGTTCAGACATTCATGCACTTCAGTATTGTTTTTTCAAGATTCCTAAAGTACAGGACCTATATGTTAATTATTTTTGTATTCGTTCATTTGTTCAGAACATACAGCACAAAGTGAGGAAAATAGCAGTTCCCAACTCAATTTAGGAATGTAACCTTCACTTTGCTCTATTATCTGTTCTAACAGCAATTTTACTTGTTTGTTCTTGTCCAAAATTATTGAATACGAAGAACTTCACTCATTTTTGTACAACACAATAAATACTGAGAAACAGCTACTCGTTTAAGTATAGATGAAATTACAATCTTTAATTTTTAATCATTACAGATTGTCCATTTTGCGGGACTTCCTTTCTTCCAACTATCTTTGTGTCCCTTGCTGTCTGTGTTAGTAACTACATTAAATAACAGCAAAGATTACTGACAAAGATGATGACTGACAATGAAAACAGAATGGAAGATTATAATCACTCTCCAACTAATCACTCAATATTCCTACCTCAAAAGTTTGTTCAAAATTCTGAAACTCTTGCAATCTTGCCTGAAATCCTTCAGCAAGTGCTCCACCTGTAATGTATAGGCAAAGATTTTAAAACTTTGTATGGCAAGATTAGATTTCTAGCATGCTGCTGTTTTTCTAACACACTGTTGTTATTGTGTGCTGGTGAGGCCTACACTTTTATCTAAATGGGAAACATAATCAACACATACCACCTTCTGGCATCCCTTGTGCTTTGTGTTTTCTAGCACTAAGAACTTCCTTGGCTGACACAAAGAAGATACGATTCTTTGCTTCTAAAAGATCCACAACTCTTAGCTCCTCCACCAAGAAATTTAGGCATCTTTCCATGTGCTGTCTACGTACCTATAAAGAAAAGCAGAGCATTAAATGAATTCTAATAACTGAAACAAATACAAGAGTTATAACAAACAACTATTCATCTACTGAACTCCAACTGTTGTGGTATTATAGTAAGAGTTCCCATATACTTAAAAAAATCCAAGAAATTCTAATAAATAAAGTTTGATACATGCAATAGGAAATCTCTAGTAACCTAAATCTCTATTAACTGAACCTATTTCTTCCTTTATACTTGGCATTTCTGAAGCTGAAAGAACTGAGGAAAAAAAATAAGCCTCAAATTATAATACTGAGAGATTCCGTGGGCAATATGTTAAATAAAGTAGGAAATATCAAAAGAAGATGGATGGCAAGATGGTGGAATAAGCAGACAAGCTACACAGAACCTCGTCAACAAAGAAAAACCAATTGACAGAGATACATTAGATAATCCTGGAGCCCTTTTAAAGGAAGTATACAGAAGTGGATTAGGCACCAACTAGTGGAAAACCCTGAACAAACACATGACCTAAGAATAGGCTCTGTTTGCCAAAGACAGTAGAGACATATGGGAGGCTGACAATGGGAAAGGACACAGGTGGTGAGTGTATAAGTGATGTCAACTAGCGAATGGAGGAGCACAGCACAGTACCCTGCTTACACAGGTAACATACAAACAAACCAAAGAAAAGGAAAATCATGGGCAAGTCAAACTAACATACAATCACCAATTAAATATAAACACAAAAATGTCACAATGCCTTAGAGACAACAAAGCATCAAAGTCCATACAAAGAAGCATGATAGAGCAGGAGAAACAAGGGACAAGGATACAGATCCAAAACATAT